TACCAGTTTTTTAAGAGACTTCTACTCCAAACAATAACATCTCTTCCTTTTCTCTTTATCATCTTCCATTTATACTATCCACTTTCCAGCATATCCATATAGATTAATTTTTGCCTAATTTGCCCTTTTAATGTTAAGTTTTATTTTTATTGCCATTATTATTTTGTATTTGATTTAATGATGCCCACTATTTTTGTGTTATGAACTTGTGTAAATAGTTCTCTGTTGTGTAATAGTAGTAAATTTTAAAGAAACACTAATCTAAGAACAGATTAATCTATTTTTAATTCCTATGAGGAAAACAGTTTTGGTCTACAAACATTTCAGATGATGAATGAACTTAAGAAATGAGTAAAATCTGAACCAAGGCTTCACTGTACTATACAACATAGAAAAAGCTTAGTAAGATATTGTCTTCCGTGCCGAATATCAACCAAGTAATCAAGTCAGACTTCAAATATTCAACCAATGTTTAATGCTATATGTGATAAAGAGCAGCGAGACCTCATTAAATGGCAGATGTACACTCTCACAAACAGGTATAGCTGTGACTTAAATGATAGTTAAAATGATAATCACATTTTTGACTAAAAGTAAGACAGCAGGTTAAAATGCGATTGACTGATATGGGAACATTGCAAGTGCCATAAAAAGGCTCATTATCTCCTTTCAAGAGATACTGATGTGTCAGCCTGCAGTAACCAATTCATAGGCGAGTCAGGAGTACATCCTCCTTTTAATTCCCTCTCGGCTCCCAATACTCCAAATTGGGCTTTACCTGCCTTAATTTATTCAGAGTCTGGCATTCCCAGAGTTCTTGCCACCTGAACAAGATCTTTGATCTGATGTAATTCCGTATGTCTGTAAAAGGGACATCATTTTCAGTGGTAACATTAGCAGATTTTGCTGCGACGTCGGCAAGTTCATTGCCTTTGATGCCAGCATGTCTAGGAACCCAGCAGTACGCAATAGAATAATCTGGGTTTCTCAAATGGAGGTTTGCTTTTAAAATTTCTAAGACCAAAGGGTGGCCAGTATTTGTATTTATAGAATCAAGAGCACTCAGAGAGTCAGAGTAGATGAACTTTCTGCTATTCTGCTTAGAAATAAAGATTAAGGAATTCAAAATGGCAAAAGTTTCTGCAGTAAAGACAGATGCAGCCTTATGAAGTTTACTACTCTTGATTTCTTTATCACAAACAAAAGCTGCCCTGACATGATTCTTTGAGTCATGAGTAAAAATTGCTCTATAGTTGGAAAAACTGTTTCTATGCTCCAGGAAATTTTGTTGATATTGGACATCATTGGTACTGCTCTTCTTAAGTTCTCCAAAAATGTTAAGTAGGTGAATATTCACTTCTTGCCAGGGAGCAATACCGAAAAGGTCAAAGCTTTTGAGATGCAGATCATTTAGGTTGAATTCTTCAATCAGTGAGTGAATATGAAGATCAAAAGGTGGGATACATGAATGACGAGCTTGGTAAAGACGCCAGTACTGATCAGAGTCATAAGTCAGACAAGATGTTCGGCCTGTGACATTACTTTATAATGAAGTTCGATGGACAATTGCTTGCGTCTGAATTCCAGAGATGGTTCAAAACAGATGACATATAAACTTTGGACTGGAAATGTTCTGAAAGCCACACAAAAAATACATAGCGCTTGATGCTGGACTGATTTCAGTAGCACAGGTCTTGCTGATCCATAGTTAACACAGCCATACTCAAGTTTGGAACGTATTAAAGCTCTATAAATGTGGAGCATACAACAACGGTCTGCTCCCCATGAAAGTATTGGCAAGGACTTTCAGCATGTTGAGAGCTTTAGTGCATTTTTCCTTTAAATTTAAGATATGCGGAAGAAAAAAGGAAGAAAAGCTCTGAATCAGGATGTAGATTTCTTTTGCGACAGAAATGCATGCAGATGGTCTTCTGGCTAGAAAATTTAAAGCCATTGTTGTTGGACCACTTTATGATTCTGTTTAGAGTAATTTGCAGCTGTCTCTCAATGTATCTCATATCTTGACCATGACAATAGATCATCAACATACAGGGAACCATGCACTGTGGGAGGAAGTTCTCTTAAACTGAAATTAATTTTCAGGCTGAAAAAAGTGACACTGAGGGCCAAACCTTGGAGTAACTTTTTTTTGTTGTACAAATACTTGAGAGAGCAACGAACCAATCTTAACTTGGAAAGTGGGGTCCTTCAGAGAGTTTTGAATGAAGATGGGTAAATTACCTCACAGCCTAGTGCTGTGAAGGTCATGAAGAGTTCCATGCCGCGAAATTCTATTGTACGTTTTTTCCATGTCAAAGGTGGAAAGAAAGGATAAAAATACTTCATACACTCCCCCTTTTACAGGGTGATTGGGATTAGGGGACCCAATTGCCAAATCCTGGTGGTAATGAATTCTTGTATCGCTCCCCCCTTTTTTTGATAAACAGAAAGGAACAATGCGTATAATCTTTATCCATGTTCGAATGTGGTTTATTCTACAACTATTTTAACACTAAACATCAGGTAGATGTCTAAATCTGTTACTGTTTTGACACTATAATATACAGGATGACACAAATATCTGACAAAAGTAAGATTATTCATAGATATGGCATGAGTAATTGTCATCACATAAAGAAACCACAAACAAGAAAGGCAGGTTAAAATCAAAAGAACCATTTTAAATAAACTTTTTACAAAAGGTACTCAAAAATGCAGTTACTAACCGTAATACAAGATTCACAGGAGGACATGAATTGCCATATATTAGCAAAGACTTCAAATGCATTTCACACAGATTTCGAGAAGTAACTGACAGTCGGACCACTAGATCTCTTCATTGACCATGTTTTTAATGTACCTCCAGCAAAAATTAATGGATGTTAAATCTGGTGATTGTGTTGACTCAATCAACATAACTATTGCACCTAATGAAATGGGGCTTAAGATCAATCTGGACAATTTCTCACATTACTGCAGTAAGATGGCAGTTCATGGTTTAACCATATCAGAAAACTTCGGCTAAGTATCTTCTATCAGGATGCCACACATGCATCTGTTCCAGCAACTAGGTTGAATGTATGGTCGTACTAAGTTGTAAAGCATGCATACTCCAATATCTATTGAGAATCTTTCGTGATAGGCAAGATTTTGTACTATGTGGTTTATTACACATGCAAAGGTCAGAACTGTAGGTGTTAAATATACTTGAGCATGCAAGCATAGGCTCATCAGTAAATAACTACAAAGGAAAGTCAGATTTTGCTACTGCCTAATTGTAGGTCACTGCATAGTTATTTCAGCTTCTTCACCTGCAGAAGTTCTGTGATATAATTCTCTGCAAGTATTAAATGACCCACTCTTGCTAGGACAGCATCTCCGTAGTCACACAGGCAATTGAGATATTGCTATTCCCAGCTAAATGGCAAGCTACCACCCCACTTTGAATTTTAAAAAAACCACTCCCAGGACAAGTTTAAGAGTCTCCCATCTCACCACTCTTCCCGTACCTCTCGAAAGAACTTTCGGCTGAACGTGTGTTTTGAAAGCTCCCTTATCACACATATATTATATGCTTAAAATGCCCATGCCTTCTCTGGGATTTAAAGGCGGGCCCTTCAATATGACAGTCACCACCTCTAAAACTATTGCTGGGACGGCCTCTTACTTAATACATTTTGACTTTTGGCAATTAGTCAAATGCCTGCTCAAAAATCATTTTCTGAATGTTCTTTGGGCAGCTGCTCCATTTCTGTCCAGCCCTACTCATGACATTCGTGTTGAGCTGAGTTCATGTAGAATACACATCATTCAAAGTCTGCACACAAAATGATAATTATGGCAGTAGATGAATTTTAGCTACCAATATCAGCAGTGCCCCTACTACCTCAGCTCGCCATTTCTGCACACATTATAGCTGCCAACCTCAAAATCTGAAAAACTTGGGAGATTTCCATTTTGCACAGCAATACTTCAAAACAACATAAAATCAATTTAAATTTCCTTCATAGGCCATGATTCAGGTTATTGAACTATTGGTAATGTGATTGTTATAAAACAATTATCTATTATCTATTCTTATATATTAGGGCTTTTTACTAATTTCACTTTGTAATTTTCTTAAACAAAATCCTGAGAACATATAAAAATGTTTTATTTACCAAAGTACTCTAATATACTGGAAGTTAAAAATAAATAATAGCAAGTAAAAATTAAATTTAAAACACTATGGACCCGCATTAATGAATAAAGCAGGTAAAATAAATTCTTTACTTCATATAAGTTAGGTTACCAGTTTTTCCCTTTTTCATTATGTACATGGATTCGATACAAAAATGCCTCACATGGTTATATCGGCCATTTATGATTGTAGTTTGTCATATAAGGAGAAAAAGCTGTAGCATCTGCAGCAAAATAAGAAGGTAAAAATTAAAAACTGGGAGATGTGATGTTGGCAGCTGTAACATGTCATTAAAAAATTTGCTTATTTTGATCACCTCCATCTGGCTTTACATTTTTGGAGAGGTATTTTAGATCCTTCTTATATAATTTTATAATGCTTAAAGTACAGCAGCAAAATAAGGCAACTTTTAATAGCTACAACAGAAAAAAGGGATCGAGAAGTAAATTTAGAAAGGAATGTCACATAATAATAAAAAGAAAACATTTTAATATTAATAATAATAAAAAGAAAACATATTAAACATTTTAATATTCGTAAGTAAAAGCCTGAAATGTTCAGATTTGATAATTGCACAATTCAAAGAATGGACATGTGTGAAAGTTTCCAAACTATTCAGGTATTTATTATACATTTTACAATACAAGTCGATATATCTGAAGCAATTCAAAAAATCAAACATTTGCATACAAAATCAGCGATCCTAATCTCATCTGAACGAGTAGGTAATTTACTCCTTTTATTAAAACATACTATTTAAAATTAAAACAGCAGTATTTAGGTTGTCCATATAAAGTACCAAAAGCTTTGGAATACATACTTATCTTCAGATTTCTGAGCCTTCCACACTAATTTTATTGGAAAAGGCTGAATATCAGTAATTGAAAAATCTCGCACTTTAAATGTAGGAGACAGCATAGCACACTAAAAATGAAGAAATTCATTAAACATTGTCTTGAAACATTAAAGAAATAAGAGAACAGTATCATGCTCTTACTAAAAAAATTAAAACTATTACTGATTAAGTATATAAAATGTATTCAAATTGAATTATTACTGATTAAGTATATAAAATGTATTTTGAAAACCTGAAATTAAGAATATACCTACATAAAATAAATATTACAAATTACAGTAATAAATATAAAATTTAAATATTTAGATATACAAAACAGCCTAAACAGTTTTTAATATACTGAAAACTTCCAATGAAAGTTAACGTTCCAGATAGCCAATCCATCTACACACAGTACCTCCTGCTTATTAAAATTATTTTTATTTCAAATATATTTGAATTTATTAAGCAGCTGAGTTTAACAGATGACAATCCTTGAACAGCAATATAAGATAGTTTTAAATGTACCTATTAAGATTAATCTAGTAATTAATACCTAAAGTAATTAAAAGTTAAGGTTAAAATTAAACTGTTTTTGCCCTACTGAAATTTAATTTATTAGACATATGTATTTGATAAAATCTTGAATTTTAGCAATCTGCTGATCCACATTTATTTGCCTTATTCATTAACAGTTCCTCAATTGCATTCTCATGTTTGTAAAATTACTGGTAGCTCTTTTGCTTGCAGAGAATATATTATAATTTGCAGTGCTTTTCTAAATCTGATTAACACATTGAGCGCCATGCATATTTCTTAGGCAATCACATTAAGGCAACACGCTGCTTAAAAGCGCTGGTATTGTAGGGCCGGTGATTGTTATCGCAGTAGAAGATAGTTTACGTTTGGAACATGATTCCTATAGACATTCATTCAACACGTTACATTTTTATGTTTACCATGTTCAGTGAAATCCATTAGTCCTGTAATAAATCAAAACTAAGTAAATTTTAAATAAATTTTCTGTAATTCCATAAAACAGTGTAAATTTTATACTTATATATCATGTTACACGCTGTGAGCCAGCGGCGATCGACGCGGCCTGAACAGAAAGTCTAGTGTCAGCCAGAGATGGCTGACGCGGCCTAAACGGAAAGTCTGGTGTCAGCCACAGATGGCCGACGTAGCGCTCAACGTGTTAAGGTTGGTGCGATATCATTTTCGCTGTTAGTTTCGGGAACCTTTTAAATAGTAGTTTTTAATACTATACAGGGGAACCTCAAGATATGAGCACCCTTTATATGAACATTGACTCAAGTAACGAGCAATGAGCCAGGCTGCTGGTATGTGTGGCACCATTTCCTGATTCTCGACTCGGGGAATCCCCTCGTCAGATCACTCGGTGTCCTTTGATCTACATGTTTGCATGCTTGTGTGTCAAATGTTTATTACATTTAACACTAAAATAATTATTTCATGTCTCCCAAGAAGATTGTTGCCTCAGATAATGCTGCAAAGAAAAATGATGAAGGCACGGCCGTTGAAATTAAGAAAGAAACCATAGATAAAAAAGCACGGTGCAAGAGCGATGGAATTGACAAAGACTTGCGCCCTTTTGACATCGACGATTTGCACTATTCTGAAGAAGCAGGAAGAAATTAAGCAACTTGATGTAGCCGTTACTTCCAAGCACTGTCCCAAATCTAGAAGATGAGAGTTGCTGGTGTGGATTAATGAGAAGCATTTAAAAGGTCGGAGTCGGAAGCTATCATAAATGTGAACTATGGTTATATTATTTACCAGTGTTATTTATTAGAAAAATTGATTTTAATGATTATGATATTTTTGCAGGTGCGAAAAGGATTAACTGGATTTCCAAAACTTTCAATGGGGAAGTTTGTTTCTAGATTCGAGAAATTCGCTATACCAGCCCAATGCTGGAACAAATTAAACTCGTATCTCGAGGTTCCACTGTATTCAATTTTTTTATTATTATCACCAGTTGCATCACATTTTAAATTAAATCTTCTTGACTTCCCTCACCAATGTCCCATGTATTAGCTGCCATTTTATTTCCTCTGGAGCTTCTTCCAAGCAAAACAAACACTTTTTAAAGAATTCTGAATGGTGTTTTGAAAGATTGCCCCCCCCATGCATTGGGCCTCTAGCAAAATCATCAATTTAGTTATCTCTTAATTGCATATTTTTTTTTCAAGATTTGGTTATACTTATCAATTGCTGAATATATCTTTTCCTTAATAACATTTGACAAGTTTTTAGAATATCTTTATCCAAAAGCTGAATTATAGAAGTTGTATTTGTAGGAAGAGATAATACTGTTTTTCAGAATCATATTGGAGATACGTCTTGCAATTACCTAATATGAAAGCTATAAAGTACATTTTACCTTTTGATGCATTTAAAAAAAAATCAGTAAAAATATTACTTATCATCCATGAGTTCTTGTTGCTATGGAAAATAAAAAGTAATTTCTTGATCAGTGCTAAAAGGAAAAAGGTGCCGCATTAAAAAGTACCTTTTCCCTTACAACATTCGATGTGCCAATTTTCTATAGAAAGGTATATACACCAACACTAACTACTGGCCAGCCTTATATTAAATATGGTGTTCTTATCTCGCTCAACAGTACCTTGTTTTCAACATAAGTACTGTCAAAAAGAAGTTTTATTTTTAAAGCTGCCAATCGAAGTTTCCAAAGTTATACACAAGATATGTTAAGTCACTGTTTGCTTAATGAAATAAGTAGCCTGAAAGATACATTTCTTATTTTAGAAAAAGTTTACTTTTGAAGAGAGCTGATGACTTCAGTACCCCCTTAAAAGCATCAGGTTAGTGTACTGAACTTTTCACAGAAAATTATTTGGCACATGTTACAGAAAAGAAAAAAAAGTTTTGAAAAATAAGTGGTGAACCAAAGAAGGTTGAGAAACGATAATCTAAACAATCAAAGTTAATGACTTTCAACATGCAATTTACAACACTGAGACAGACATAACAGCATCCACCTGTTAGATACAAATGGTAATCAGATACTCACAAGCAATATTTGTCTTACATACATATCTTCTTGGGGAAAAATCTGTTAAAATGTATATTATATTATTTATATGAACATATTTATCAATTTTTGCTTTAGTATCACAGTAAGAGAACTGACTACTTTGGCAATGAAGCTCACGTAACTGGCATTATTAAAATTTTAGAATATTCCTTCTTTAAAAAAAAAATTCAGCAAATCAGACATGTAAAGCCAGCATGAGCACAACTCAATGACTGCCACAGTGATTTATTGCCAATAGTGAATGAGTGTGACATCACAATACAATTGTAAGATCTTAACCTTCATTTTAAGTTAGCTCATTAATTCTCAATAAGACAGTGTTTAACTGCTATTTATGTTTTCTCCCGATATTTTGGGGGGAAAAAATTAAATTTGGTACCTGACCAAAACAGAAGAGCAAGCAGATTATTTGCAAAATTACAGCATGCTAACAAGAAGAAATGATTTTCTGATAACATATTTTAAAGATAACCTTCAGCTTATACCATGAGAGAATTCTATGGAATGAAAACACTACATTTTTAACAGAAAGAAATAAAACACATACCAATCATCAACATATTAAGTGCGTGTAACTTATCTGTGAGATTTAAACTAAACTATGAGTTAGTTCATTTTACAATTACCTGTAAAGCACAGCCTCTTGCAACAGCTTCATCTTGATTTAAAGTTGTGCTTGGTTCTTTACCGAAAACCTTTTGGACTAATTGCTTAACAGCAGGAAGCCTTGTTGAGCCACCCACAATTTGAACTGAATCGATATCATCCGGTTTCAGGTCTAAGAAATTTTTTACAGTTTTTTAAATCAAGCAATGCCCAGTAAACTAAAGAATTTTCATGCACTTATTAAAAGCCCATATTAACTTACGTGCATCACGAAGAAGCCTTTTCATTGTGTTTTCAATATTAAGTAGGAGGTCAGAAGCAAGATTTTCAAAATCTTCCCTATTAAAAAAAATCATTAACATTTCATTCATGAAATAACTTTTAAATACACATACCTATTTTAATATATTAATTTTATTTCATCAGTTGAACACAATTAAAAAGGTGTTTGGGTTAATAGCCTCCACAAGACTATTCAGCAAAACACAGCTAAGCTGTTACAGTGACACAATTGTAACTTATTTCTTTCGAGTAGATGCATCGTGTAAGTAAAAGTTTTATTAAAAGTCTGCCATAAGTCTGACCACTTCTTATGGAATGCATATGAAATATCTTTTTACAGAATGTCATTTTTGTTATGTTTAGTATCATTTATGATTACAGAAGCATGAGTAACTTCAGTATACTACCTGTGTAGAAGCAATACCTAACCTTCATCTCACCAAACACTATTCAATTACCTGCCCAAAGAGCTCCACAGAGCGCTGCTGAATCACTTGAGTTGTTGACTTGAGTATACAACAGTAACTTACTGTAATAAAGTTAATGGATCACACGCGAGACTAAAAATTTAGTAAATGCAATGATAATGAAAATTGAGTGCATTAGAAATTTACTGGCTGGCTCTCCAGAAATACATCTCAATAGCTGCTGAACAGAAAGGTAACTTTGCAGGTAATAAGTGCCAATGGCTAATTCCTATTGCTAATGCCCATGTTATGCCAAGGATACCTAATTATTGTCCACTATCTAAGCATGGCTATTCCACTTATTAACCATTTAGCTGACCGAGTCACGTATATGTATGTTAAAGTATTTTTTAGCACTTATTTAGATATCTTGAAATGTTCAAAAAATTAAGGCACTAAATCAAATGAAAAAGAATCCAGGTTATAAAGAACAAAGGGCATTTTAAATATGAAAATATCTTCCAATCATGGCAGTTTGGAGAAATTTGGGAGCCAAATCCTTTGTTGGTTGAAGGTTAAATAGGTAGACAAATAACAAACACAACTGAACAAAATGGAATTGGAACATAAGTTTTCTTCTTGGTAATACCTCATAATATATAAACTTAGATGCAATTCTCAACATTATTAAAATGATTATCTCACATTAACTCCAGTTTCAGATGACTAATGATGAATTTTTTAAATAACTCATTACCTGAAAGGGCTTTAAAACCGGACCGCTTACAACTAAAAACGAAAATATTAAAAATCTAAGCAGATTTTAGCAATTTCCAGTGAATTCTGACATTAGTATTTTTGTTTCCCAGGCCAGTGCACAAGGACATGAATGTATTCATAGAAATTACTGTATTTTCAAAATGACAACATTTATGTATCTAGAAATTAATTTTACGTGAAATTCATCCATCTTGTCCCACAAAAGGGCTGTCAATGGTGCAAATGTTGGCACATGCAGCTAGTTTTAGATGATTTGTGATCTAGGCAAGAGCATACCTGATTTGTCATATCTACTACTCCAAGGGGAAATCTGATGCTCATACAGTGGCATCCAAGTAAAATATAATGACTGATGACTCATCACCACATGAACTTTGTTACCTAGACTTCATAATCCTACTTCTCTTTAGCAGCCCTTTAAATGGAGTAAAATAAAAGGAATTATCACACATCCTCCATCTGTGATCTCATGATGTAAGCAAAAACATATTTAGATGGAAATTGAAGATCCATATTTCAAATGCTGATTAAAGCATAGCTTATTTTCATGCTTCCTGCTCCAAAATATATATATATATACTACTTTCTCTACGACTCGAAACTATTTTATTATACTTTTGAGAAAAGCACTTGAAATTTTCATCTCAAAATATATAAGCCAGTTTGTCAAAAACTAAGATGTGCATATTTCCGGTAATTTTTTTTACTCACCGTTTCATTCTTCCTGAGACATCTTTATCATCCATAAAACACTCAATGTTTATTGGTAGCTCTAAAGAGTTTGCACTCATTTGCTTTTTCAGTTTCTCACATTCTTGCATCAGCCTCATTACAGCTCTCTTGTTAGTCATGATATCTAGATTGTAACGGTCATTGAAATCATTAACAAAATGTTTTACTAATACATTATCAAAATCTCGTCCACCAAGAGTACGATTCCATGTACTCCCCAAAATCTGTAAACAAATAAATAAAAACATAAGTGACAGTTTAGGTACGTAAACTGCTAACATACAGAATTTAATATATTGTACTTTCACAGAGCACTTGGAAGATACTTATAACATAACACTATTACTTTCCATAAACAAGAAAGATAGTAAAAAAAAAGCAAATACAATTTTCATTTTAGTTAAAAAAGACCATGTCAAATAAAAATGCACAAAAAGGTGAAAACAGGCTTCATTTTCTTGAATTTACCAAATTAACATTAGCAGAGATAGCTACAAAATTACTAATCTGTGGTTTTATGCAGTATAGAGTTACTTGCCAAAAAACACAAACTTTGGTTTCTGCCTTTCATCTTTTAATATTTTTACAAATTTTGTATACAAAAGTATGTAACTAAAATGTAAAACCCTTTTTTGTTAATCGGACATTTTATTTATAAAGCATCATGTAAAAAGCTCAGGGTTTTATTCATAAAAAAGTTTTAAAAAATTCTAGTCCTTAATGACTCTTAACATCTTCCACATTATTCTGAGAAATGAACATTGGACAAAATATATATGAAACCGAAAAAGCATAAAAAAAAACCTCCAGATTTCTACATAAATACAGCTGACAAAACTAATTTATCTCACAGAAAATTCTGTGAAGTACATGCACACAAAATAATTCAGCATAGCTTCACTGCTTTCCTTCAACACTATGATCTACTATGATTCACACACAGAAGCTATGCTGAAAAAATATTTTTTGGAGAAATTAATCTTAAATCAAAAATTTTGAATTTCAGCAAAAAGTTAAAAATGGAAGTTTTCCTTGTTTTTTAAAGAGAAAATTTATACAGATACATGAAGTTTTTCTCATACAAATGAAGTTTTTCAGAAAATTTGCTTAAAAAGTCTGCAACAATAATTTAGCTTTTTCTATTGTTTTGATTTAATTATAACAAATTATGGAACTGAATGGCCTGGAGTAACGTGAAAATTAATGAGCATAAAGACACAATGAATAGCTCTTTTAATTTTATGAAATTATGAGTACAAGCAAAACACATAATATAAATACCACCTCAATAACAAAAAGTAGTTATGGCAATTAAAAAGCAGCATTACTGTTATACATGTTTTTCAATATCCAATTAATGCCTCTAAGTATAACAGGGTAAAATCTTAATATAAAAAAATAACGTTTGCAGGTTTTCTTAATCCACTAAATAAAAATCACATTATATGCAAGAACAAGATAATTCACCACAGCTTGGAGGGGGAGACTGTCTAACAGTTTACAAACTTTCCACATTAATTAACCTAATCAACTCCTTTAAATATTAACAAGAAATTGTCGATAAACACCAAATTTTTAATTTCATTACACAATCATACCAACACAGATGAAAGAGCAAATTATGTTTTTAAACATAACTACAAGTGAATTCAAAATAACACATAAAAGCTGCAAATAAAAAGAAGTTTTCAATGTGAAAAAAAATTAAAATCCTCATTTTTTGCTACAGATTCAATATGCATTAAAGTTTACAAACCTTAAGCTTTCCTTTTGTGAAAGCACAAGCAGTGACTTGGAGAGCAGAGTTGCCTAGATCTACAAATACCACATTTTTGGGCTTATCTTCTGGCAGATCTTGTCTATAGAAACCATATGCAAGTGCAACTGTAAAAGATTGAAAGGTTTTCAAAATGATTAAATTTTAAACACAATTATTAAGTTGAGAAAACTGAAAAATGTAACAATTACAAAATACAAACTTCACAGGAAACAAAACTCCAAATATTTCTCAGAGGCAAATATGATGAAGCCACATCATTATGATCACCATCCAATACAAACATTACACATGTATAGCAAATACTATTCTGCATGCATTCTCCAAGTCAAACCCCCAATCAGTTTTGATCAGTTGGGGATCTTGCCCTCCACAAATCAAGAAGTCTTAACAATTGCAAGATGATTGAGATCCCATTTCAAAAATCTTGAAACTCATCATGGAGTAAAAATAAAGCAGGATCTCAAAAAATTCAGATTAATGCATTAATTGTAAATTCAGATTAACAGGGGTGTTTGTGGGAACCCCAAAAAATCCCCTGAAACTTTTACGGACTTAATACCGACATTTTGGAGTTTCGAGAAGGGGGGGAGAGAAATGAAAAATTACAATTATGAAGTATTGAATGACCTAATTATAAAAGTTCAATGAATTACTTTTTTTTGCAAAATTAATAACCATAAATTTTCAAACATATAAACTACTACATTTTATGTAAATATCTTAAATTACCTGAATTAATTCTTTAAAAAAAATTATTTAATTTCTGCTGCTTTTTTTTTTTTTTTAATTTTCTGATGTTTGTGGGCTTGTCTTACTTTTGTAGTGAACTTCATAATTGCAGGAAAGTTGACTTTTATTTTCCTCATTTACAGTTGAAATTTCCTTGAGAACTGCACATGCAGAGGTAGAAGCATTTTGCTTTCCTGCTAATGTAGAAGGTTTTTCAGAGACTTTTATAGGTGACTCATCTGAAATACATGTTTTTTTAAGTCCTCTTGATATGTTTTCCAACTTCTGTTTATATTCAGTAAGAGATCTTTGTGAATTGGATCAGTCATTGGATTTTTTTAGCCATATTTTTCACATGAGGTTTCTTTAAAAGCCATTAAATCATATTTAATAGTCCGCACTGCATCTAGGGAATCAATCTTAAGAGAGGTTCTATAGTCAGTGACAAGTGTATCCATTAAGTTGAATGCACTTTCCACTAATGGGCCATGGAAGCAGCTAAGGCAGGCTTTGACCAATTTAGCCAATGTAGGATACTTATAATCATTTGTGAAATCATCTTTTAAATTAAAAACTTTAGACCAATATTTATCAATTGTACATTTGACTTGATTTCCACTTTCATCAGATGCGTAGAGCATTTCTTTGGTGATATCAATATCACTCTGGTATAACCTTATTTCAGCTTCTACTTTTGAGTTTTCATTATCACTAAAAATATGGAACATAAAAGATGATAATTTTTCAAAAGCTAATATTGTACTGGTTTGACCTCTTAGCTCTGGATCTAATAGCTCTTAGCTCTAGCGTTTATAGGTATTAGAGAAGAACTTGAAGTATGCATATTAGCACATGTTGGAGATATCAACTTCTAGAAAGAATGAATGGTTCACAGAGTATAAAGAACTACAGTCAACTGTTCATGTTCCATCATATCAGCCATATAATTAAATGAACTCTCAACATCGCATCCATGGAAGCTAGTTAACCCTTTTGAGACAACGTGCCTTTAAGACATTCCCTTGGGACAAATGGGAGTCAAAAGTGTTGCTAAGCCTAACTTTAGAAAAAATTGTTCAAATCCCAACATCATAATTTTTCATATCATTTTAGATTTTTGCTTATGCTATCATACATAATAAAATTAGCATTATCCTTTCCCTTTACTTTTACATGATTATATGTAGAAAAATTGCTTACTTTTGAGAAATAATTTTCGAAAGATCTATGCAATTTATTCCAAAGTTTTAAATGACGAAACACATTATTAAACTCTTCGATGGGAAGTGATAGGCAGGCACTCAGCGAGCCCAGTCTCCGAGAAAATGTCCATATTGGGATCATTAGAAAGAGCACTCTCTGATCTTTCAAAAAATGAATTATCTTTCTCATCCATGTAACTAATTTACTCATTTGCCATGAGAATACATCCTTCCCGTGATAAAAAATGCTGCTATGATAAACTGAAGTCAAGGCTTTCCAAAACAAAAAGTAGGGGGAAAATGAGCTATAAAAGCAACACAAAGCATAACAGAACCCCATACAAGAACTTTAAAAGATCCTGCATAGCAGCAGAAAAGGAATATAAAAGGATTCGAAGTGATATTAGATATGCGAATGTTTGTATCACGTGTCAAGACAAAGAGCCAATCTAATCATTAAAATCCAAACGATTTACAACAAAACAAATAAAATTTGAGAAAGATGATCAGTGAAAAATATGGAAATTGATTTGAGAATAATAAAAAATCCAGAATTCAAGCTATATCTACACCAAAATCAGCCACTACTGTCGGACTTTGAAAAAAAGGACAATGACTAACACTTCTGAAACAGCAGACTGTGATAAAACTTTGCATATCCAGCATGGTAATACTCTGAGCAGCACGGGTTTTTGGGATCTGTCATGAAAGCCTGTATTTATGCAGCATTTATTAGCTACATTTATATATTTACTTATTTTAGCCTCCATTTTCATAAGCTTACATTCATTAAGACTAAATTTACATTATTAAAGAAAGTAAGAAAGCAAAAATATCTTAAGTTATAAGCTAATATTTATCAAGTGACAAAAAATCTCATGACCGGATGCCACTCAAAGGGTTAAATTGTGAAATGCTCACACATTTGAAAGCTACAAAAAGTCACGATTCATAATGTCATTGAGCGTAACTGGAAAAAGAGGAGGGGGTAGATGTAGCAGTTCTTTAGATTTTTCAGCTAAATAACGCTTTTGACATTTCGAAGTGTGCATCATATAAAAATAGCCCAACAGAACTGAAAAATAATCTGCTTAGCAAGCACAGTAAAACTCTTTTATCTCTGCAAAATATCACAAATGTTATTGCGCAATACATGCACCTTAAATCTTCCACACACGATATTATGCAAACGGAATCAACAGCTGCTGGAAGTCAGAGAATAAATAAAGAAAAAGGAGACTTGCCAATCTAGGTTTTTTCATTCTAATTTTCGGTAAAGTGCAGAATTCCCCGCTTATATGGTGTGTACAAAGTAAAGGGCCAATTTTGTGCAATTCTCTGATTTTTTTCAAGTGAAAATGGGTCAATGTGTACATGGATATTGAGTTTGTGCAATTTTTGACTTGTTTTCAAGTTGCCAATTTTCAGAAACACGCAAAACAGTGGGTGATTCTGCACTTTTTCCCTAATTTTGAACAAACTGCATTAAATTTCCGCAATAGAATCATTCTTCGCTTGGGTTGGTAGACCGCAGAATTTTCAGTCCTATTCAATCCAGATTGGAAAGTGAGAAAATAAATTTCCATCACTCGCTTTGCTGCAAACTGCAACGGTTTCGATGTTTGAGATTTTGCGGAGAAAGAGGAGGACCCCCCTAACTTCCATACTGTATAATGCATTGGCCGGGAGGGGGGGGGGAAATTATTTTTTGACTGTTCAATTACATTCACTTTATTTAAGACATTCCGAATATTATTCCTTAGAAAGTTAATCTGTGTTAAAACACACTTACTCATTTTTGAAGTTACTTCAGCAGTTACTGCAAATATATTATTATAAATATTCATACATACGCTCATAATATAGGTATAATGATCCTAATAAACACAAATATGAACAGACCATGCAGAACGAGATTGCAAATTATTAAAATCTTGATAGAAATTCAAACGTGTGTAATCTTGGGAGGAAAAATATGGAATGTACTGGAATTTTCTACTGCTTTCGCAATTCTTTGACCAAAAAACGACATGCACCTGTCTACATGCACGCACCAAAGGTTACGTTTATGCACAGAAAGGGGCGCCAGAAGTATGATTCACCATATGAATTTCCATATAAGGAAGAAATGTTGTTTATAGTTTCGGCTGGTAGTGAAAAAATGTGCGTTTGTTTAAAAAAAAGCACTAAAAACAAAAATTAAGTGCTTTAGAGAAAAAGCAAACACCTATAATGGCCTTTATAATTTATTTTCAAATATAAGGACTTATATTTGAAATTCACTTGTAAGGATCGCTACAAACCCTGTCACAAAAACCATATGCAAGTATGAATCAGGACTGTTTAATGAACAATTATGGCCCAACTATCCTTCCAGGAGGAAAATTTTCTGGAAAGAACACTACGCTAGCCTAGCCATGTAGGGATGAATTTCCAGAATTTTAAGTTCACATTGAATTGCTGAGTTTCTAATTAATCATCAAAAACCCACTGGCTCAAACAGTACTATGGTTTGAATCAAGAGCAGTTTTTTAATGCAATTTTGCAGGCACAGCCCCAGACAGGACAGGCATATGAGAGTATGGGACACAACATAGTCTTGCAAATAAGAATCATATTATAAGTAGAAAGAATTGCTGTTCCAAGCAACTTAAGAGGCAAGTGTAAGTTTATGCTCTTGGAACTTGGCTATGATCTGTGTAATGTGAGGGGACCACCTGAACCAGTAATTAAGACCTCAAGGGTACTGGAGTACATATGCACATGTTGGTTAACACGTTGAGCAGTGCTGAATTTGCTGTCCTTTCCGTTCAGCAGGCAGCGAGCTAAGCCGTAAAGGCATATTTTTTTTTTTTAAATGTTTCAGTACATTTCATTAAAACTAAATTTGATCACCTTTCATTGAGACTATATTTATTTTTGAACTTTAATACTGTCGGCCCAGAGGGCCGACGCCAGCCAAACGAAAGTTCCAGTGCCGGTCCCCAGGGCCGCACTCAACGTGTTAAGATCAATGTTTCTTTTCCTCATGAATTAAGGTAGCATCTGACTTTTGTATGCTGACTTTCATTTTCCAGGTGCTCTGCCAGAACTCCAGTGAGTGAATGTGGATCTGTAATACATACTGAACCAAAAGATGCATTTTGAGCAAGATTGCAGTTTTGTTTCTGTAAATTGCAAGGTGGTGTATTGCAAGGGTGGTGTAAATTGCAAGGATGTTGTCGTTCACGTAGATATTTAATAAAATAGGGTCAAATACCTCTGTGTAACACCACCCTATTAGATCTGGGGGTGGAAAGTGTTTTGTGAACATGAATCACGAAGTGATGTTTGTGATGTAGTCTGGGAAACAGGATTATTAATTTGTGCAAAAGGCCCTCCAGCCAGACACAGTTTGGTCAACATCCAGGAAGATGGCTTTGGTGATTAACTTGTAACAATTCCTCAGTTACTAACATGCTTTAGTTGGTTATTTTTGAGCAAATAATTCAAATTTAAGATAAAGTTTAAAATGAAGAAAATGTATACAAAATTTAAACACACTTGTAATCTGTATTGCAAATTAATAAAACTCTATTGTACTAATAAAATTATTAAGTTGCTTTTTAGATAAAACAAAGCTAAAATAAATAAAATACACTGATACTTTTGTTCAAATACATTATAAAAAATCAGTTAAATTACAGCTTTGATATTGAATCCAAGATACAGATCATTCTCAATTTCAAAACCAAAACAACTTTTCAAACTTCCAACAGTTAAAGTAACAAAAAGGGGAAATGGATCCTTGCATATTAATGCAACCATAGTAGAAGTCACCAAATTTTTCTTCCTTAATTTATGCATATGAACATTACCACATTGCTTAATTAGGTAAGGATGGAGAATTGAATTAAATTTCAACTGCATAACAATTCTCAGCTACAGAAATAATTTAATATGAATTCACTAAGTGCTTATTTCAATTCTCCCTTCTGCTATGCAGAAGAATGGCAAGTCAAATAGTAAATTTATAAAACAGCCATCAAAATTCTTGCAGGTACTTTGCATTTAAAAATTACACATTGTATGCATACTTTATATAAAAAGTGCAATAAATAACATTAAAACATAATAATGTATCTTTAAATGATTAAATCCTCAGACTGCAAAAGAAATTACACCAACCATACCAGCAGTAGGCTCATTCATCAGCTTGAGAACATTAAGGCCTGCTATTTCTGCAGAATCAAGAATTGCTCTTCTTTCTACATCTGTGTAGTATATGGGAACCTAAAATAGTAAAATATTAATATATGAATTGATGACGAGATCAGAAAAAAAAACTTTTTAAATGCAAAGAATTTTTCAGTAAAGAAAAGTTTACAAAAATAAATGGAAATTGTTGTCAAACGTAAAATAGGTAATACATTACAAAAAGAAAAGCAATTTCAGTTTCGATGACGACAATTACAGATTATCACTTGCTAAAGTTAATCTTTAAATTAAGTTTAGCAAGTGATAATCTGTAATTGTTTATGCTTAAGTTTTAATGCTATGAATCTATTTTTAATATATTCAAATTCTTACATCTATGTCGACAAAGGTAGAAAAAATTTTACTGGCAAACGAAGTCTGTGAACTTTCAACTCAACTGTAAGTATATGTTATCTGTTCATCTAAAAACACACATCGATAAAAAAAAAAAAAAAAAAAAAGCTACTGATGAACAAATAAAAATGCTACTCTGAAAAAATAAAAATATGTATTGGCTCTTTTCCTTTAAAATATCGTTCTTTTTTAGTCACTAGATGATTGATTCTCAGAATGGAAACAAAAGAATTAACTAATAGACACGTGCAGAGTTGAATGCATGCATTTATTCAGTTATTATCATCTACTAGCAATGGTTAGAAAGACTCATTTTCAGTCAGTATTTGTTCACCCCTTTACAGCAGCTCATGCAAGAGTTCTTTTTGTCACTATGAAATAGTTAACAAGGCTTTTTGGTACTTTTCCGTTTCACTGGAGCAAATCTCGCCAAGCAGACTTATACACATAAAAAAATGTTAGTTCTAAGATTTTTTAGTTTGAAGGCATAAACATTTTAATATGATTTAAAATTTTGTGAAAAGACAATAAATTTGTAAAAAAACATTATGATTTGCTGGTTCGTATCACGTGACCTTAAGTGATCTCATCTCACGTACACTACGCTACAAAAATAACTACATTAATTTCAAGTTAAATTCTCTCAGTAATTAACTACATTAATTTCAAGTTAAATCTTAATTTCAAGTTAAATCTTAATTTGGAATACAAGTTTAAATGTGAGAATTATATCAATAAGTACGAATAGCTTACTCAGAATTTATGTAAAACCGCAGTGCATTCTCGTTAGAATTGATGAAGTTAACCCTTAATTTTGCCTTTTCTGTATTTTCGCCTTCGAGTGAGTGGTATGACTGCATCCTAATTGACTTGATTACCGCGAATGGTCTTAGGGCACAAAATTTAACTATCTTGTAACATTCTATGTAATTGTATGCCAGTATTGAAAGAAACAATCAATCTAGGCTGCGACTTGTTTTGAAAATGAAGCGTAAAAAGGTTACCAGCAAAGATATTCTGTTTGCCATCAGTTGCACCATTATTGGCAACTTTATCGTTTGTGCCGGCAAAACGGAAAAGTACTGGCTTTTTAATAAAACAAGGCAAAAATTCAAGATGTAAAAAAAAAAAAAAGTGATTTTGAGAATCACCTTTTTATAAGATGCTTCAAATGATAATTTCATGCATAATCAATGCTAAATAAGGATTAAAAGTATAATACAGAGAGGAAATGATTAAAACAATAACACAGATTAGATTGAGCACAGTAAAAAAAATTATAAATGCAAACGAACTATGGCAACAGTTTGCTTCAGTGTAAACTTACGTAATTAATAAGCAAAAACTAATCTACATTAAGCATAAGCAATTTAATGACTTTATTTCCATGTGCAGAATGCAAAATCTGTGAAATAATGAAGTAATTTCAATAAGGCAGTGAAATTACTTGCACCACATTAGAATAATATTAACTGGATCAAATTATTCTCTAAACACTTTCAGTATAATCCAGCATTTATCTTTCAATACAACTTACCTAAAATATACTAAGTAAAATAAAAGGCACCACCAAATTTAGTATGATATTCCTAAATTTTATGTACAGCATTAGTACATACTAAAGCAAACCAGCTAGCATAGGATTTCCCAGATTATGTTCTGTGTCAGAGGATATAAAGGTAATAAACAAATCATAAAATTTCTAAAGTACAGAAATTTGTTACAATAATACTAGTAAGAAATGCTCCACATGTTATTTTATTGCCCACTATGGCAATAAAGCTCACGAATCTCAAAATTACAATTAGGACATCTTATCAAATAAGATAATTAGCATATGGCTTAGTTTATTAACATCCATGCTCCGCATTCTAACATCACATCTCTGAATATATGTTCTGAAAACATCTCTGAACAGACCTTTGGATGAAATCACTATCCTTGCCTGACTATCTCATTACATTTTTAGCTCACCAATATTCTCAGTTTAACTATAACACGAGATATCTAGCTAGTTAAACCCTCCTAGCAGCATGACTGGCTTTATCTGGGCTCAGAGGGCTAATAACTTCACGAAACGCCAATTTCCTGTTCTGCCCTTTCTTGAAATCCATCTGCTTGTACACAGGTTCTATCTAGTGTACTTTAGTTTACTTTAAATAACATACTAACCTTCAAAAACAACTAAAATTTGCAAATGTTAACTTCTTTCATAGATGTCCACAAAATTACTAACAGCCCACTCCAGATAACATTAAGACCGCCATCTCATTTTATATTTCACTACTGATCTTCACTTCAGATTTCCCAACATTATTTCCATTAAGCAGTTCAGTGTGTTGTAATTTCAGTTTTACGTCCTGACAGTATCAAACAAAAAACACATTAAAATTCATGCTGCTTTTATCAACACATTTTTACCAAATTAACAATGTATTACTAACTTCATATAATTTAAAAAATACATAAAGTACACAAACTTAATGTATTTATATAAGTAAATTCTAGCTTATAGACAAGTAACTCCAAAAAATTATCAAATTGTTTTACACATTCTAAAGACTTAAAATTTAATCAAGCTGTTATAAGAAAAATCAAATTATAAATACACTTACTGATATAACACAATCTTGAACTTTAATTCTTAAATTGCCTTCTGAAATCTCTTTTAATTTGGTAAGCATCATGGCCATAACTTGTGGGACAGTAAAAATGGTTTTTTCTTGCAAATAATTAACCTAAAAATAAAATTAATGAATTGAAAAAATATCACTCAAAAAGTACACTTAGTCTTACCATTTCAATTTACTTACTGTTAGTGTTACTATTTCAATTTACTCACTTTAGTAGTTTCTTATGAAAGTGAAGTATAAGTGAAAATAAATTAGAACAGATATACTTTAAATAACCTTAAAAAAATTAAAAATTACATAAATATCTATATTAAAAACTCTCATATCTTACGAGTTAATGATTATAGAAAGTCAGTGATATTATATGAAATCATGATACTGAATCAATGTCATCTAAAAATGACTGGAAACATCTATTAAACTGACTATTAAAATACCACAAATTCTAACAAACATCGCCACCAGTTACAATTGGGCGAGGTAAAAAAAATAGTTTATTATTAGATAAAAGTATCATGTCTGAATTTAGCTTTTTTTGAGCTCAGAAATCATAATATTTAACAACCTTGATCTAATGTTTAGGAAGATTAAATCAATTCAAGTTTATTTCTGCAAAATATTTCTTGAACCAACTGATAAATATTTAGTGTTACAATGGCCTAACAGAGAAATGGGAACTGGTTATTCTTAAGACAAAGTGAAACAAGATTAAAAAAAAAAACTGCTTCGTGTATTTATACCATAACACAAGTTCAAGTGTTAAGCACCTCAACATCAGCCTACTTCCTTAAAGGTGATAGATTTCATGGAAAGTATGGGTATTTTATGCTGAACTTTTCTTTCACTAGATGGAAGTACATGCTAAATGGAAATTCCTGTCCAAAGGTCAGTATTACCTCTGCAGCACAGCAGTTTTATCCTTGGCACAAAGTGACCTCAACAGCTTGAAAAGCACTGAACAATGCAAGAGTCACAGGATTCAGAAAATTCTGTTACCTAATTGTAACTTATCATTCTACCAAAATAATAAGAGAGATGTAATAATTAACCTTTTAGCGATGGCGCACCTTTGTTTAAGACTCTCGTGTGGGACGGAAGGGAATCGAAGGCAGTCACCGTACAGGACGGAGGTTTTGCATTGCTAAGCCTAATTTTATTTAAAAAAATCAGAAAAAAAAAAAAAAAAGTTCGTTTCTAGCATCGCAATTTTTGGTATATTTAGATTATTACTTGAGCTCTTATATATATTAAAATTAGCACTTAACGTTTTTTTCTTTATTTTACATGAAAATATATTAAAAAATTCTTTATCTTGTAAAATAATTTTCGGAAGCACTATTCAAATTATTCCAGTAATTCAAAAGTAATTTGTAAAAGTTTTTCCAGTAATTTGTAAAAGTTTTAATCGATAAAATGCATCAATAAAGTTTAAAATTAATAAAACAACACAATAAAGACTATTTACAGTAAGAAGTAACAAAATTTAAAATGAAGACCGAGTGTGGTAAAATCAGTGTGTGCAAATCTCGAAGCACGGAGAAGTATCACTTTCTAACTCTCAGAATAAGTATCACTTTATAACTCTTTAGAAAATGAATCAGCACTCTCATCTGCGTTAATAAATGTTCTGACTAACGAGTGTCTTCCTCTGATAAATAGCGGCTTCCCGCCATAATAGACTGGAGGTGAGGCTTTCCGAAATAAAAAGAGAAGAAACGGAAATATATCTGATGGCAATGCAAAACGTAACAGTACTCCACTACTAACCCTAGAAGACCGTACATAAAGGAAAAAATAAATAAAAAAGGAATTGATATAAATCAAACACGTCGAATTTTTCATTAGAACAGCGATTTAAAGACCACGTCTTGTTTCGCTTCCCCTCACCCTCGCAACAGCTGATGAGTAAAATACCAAAGTCAAGCAGAATATATCAAACTCAAGGTCAGCCATCCTCTGAATGCAATCTCTAGCGATGCGTGGATGGAACGCCCGGCTGTAAGAGACGTTCTTAGGGAATGCGTATATCGGACGCCCATCCTGAAAGGGTTAAATTTGATCTACATTGTAATTCAGCCAGTGAATGGTTAAATCTGTTATTTGCTTGTTTCTACTCTCTTAAAAATGTCTGGCAAATTCATTTACATTGCTCTGAAGCACCTGTCCAGATACTAGCAGATCACACTTCTTTGAATTGCTTTCTTCGAATCGCTTCTTTGGTCACCATTTCGAAGATGGCACTACTCTAGGGATTCCATAAAACATAAAATAATCAACAAAATTAAAAACAGGAAGAAATATCAGTAAAATATACCAGCTTTTTTCCAAGAAATCCTTACATAATTTCTTTAAGCTGTTGTTTTCCACAAGGAAATTGGTCCGATTAAAAATCTGAGAATTGCACAAATCTGGCACTGTTCAAGCAGCTGTTATCATGTATACAGCATTTTTTCATTTACCAAAAAAAAAAAAAAAAAAAAAAAAAGAAAGAAAGAAAAAGAAAAACAGAACTACATAAATTCAGCATTGTGCACAGATTTCAATCCATAAAATTTGCTTGTTTAAGAAGTACAACATCATGGATTGTCAATTTTTGCTTTCTCCACTATTGGCTAAAATGCCACATTTCTGAAGAAAAGCTTTCCTTTTCATCAACAGGTAAACTAAACAGTCGAATTAAGATTTCTCGTTAGAAAAAATATGTACTCAATGCAAAAACAAATACTAATAAATAATGACCATCTAATTCGAAGGTATCTGCACTCGCCTGCATACCTAGGTTGCCATAAAAATATACTTCGTTGACGACAACAGTTGCTTTGGTGATTTTTCAGGAGGATATGAATAATTAAAAACACCCATAATTTAGATAAACCCATCAAAGGACAAAAAATTAAACATTTCTCAAATTCTAATCATAACTGAAGTTAAGATTTAAAATAAACTTCTCAAACAGCAAAAACTAAATTTTTAACTGCCCGTATCATTAGACTGTTGAATTTCCAAAATATATACACAAAGAACTTACTATAGTCTCCTATTACTGAAGATTCCTCCTATTAGTTACAATTATAGCTGTCTTAATTATAACTGTTATTGCAATGCATAACCACTTTATCAAAAATATATTTTAATCAGCAGTTGTGCTTTTAACAATGACAATCAACTTTTAGAAAATCAATTGAGAGATAAATTATTTGGTCAATAAAGGAAAAGCATGCCTAAGCTATATGCTAAAGAAAATAGATATTTCTGCTTATGACATTCTGAAAGGAAATTGACCCCATTTACATTATACACAGGTAAACGTCCAGGCAGATATTCCAGTTGGTAGTGATTCTCCCTACTCCCACCCTGGATGAAATACCAGTATTTTAAGTTGTAGTTATTCTACCACTGGTTAGCAGAATAAAGTCAAATGCTTTTAAATTTCACTTAATCTTTATAAAACTTCTCAATACTCTAGACCAGGGGTTCCTAGTGTGGTCTGTATTGACCCCCCATGTGTCAAGTGGGGATTGACAGCCAAATATGCAGTGATCGGCATAATCAAAATCCTACTGATAAAAGTATTTTTTAATTTATAAATTTAAAAAAATATTAATTACTATGAAGCTATATCATGAAGTAAGGAAAGAAATTATATAAGGGAACATACACTAAAATATATTTAATATATTTTTTAATTATGAATTTTTTTAAATATATACATTTTTTATGCACTAAGTGTAAGAACACAAGGGTACACAGAAAAATAAAATGAATACAAGATTGGAATTGAAAAAAAATTAAGTAATGGTAAATATTTAAAAAACTGCATCACTAAAAGCATCACATTAATTAAAATCAAACTTTTGTGCAATTAGAACCTGATTTTATTTCTGAAAGATTGCATGAGCAAAACTAAAAATAATAATTGAACATATATCTAGTACACATTTTTTTTTTCAAAATTGTTATTACTATTCTTACTATAGTTACTATCTTGAAGTTCTTTGTGTGAAATGATTTGTATTATGATTATGCTGTATTCTGTATACTATAGAGAAAAATGTAAGTGGATCGATGAAGAAAAACCTTTCCTTCAAAATGGCTGATGTAAGGAAAAGGTGAGGTAACTCCTGCTTAGTGATTTGAAAACACAATTTATATGGGTGTCACTTTAAAATTTCAGTTAGCTGATCAATTACTATAATGTTTACCTTGTTTTACATATATTAATAAAATCACTATTATTTTATACATTATCATTCAGGATTATAACAATTCAGATACATAGAGCATAATCATAATGAATGTCAATATTTCCAGAAAACCACAGAATAAGTAAGAATAATTAATAAACTTATTAGATTAAAAATTAAACTATAAAATCTTAAAAAAATCCAGCAAATTAACTTCTAATGAGAGCTATGGTTAGCAGCATAAGGCACAGCAATAACTTACTAATAAATGAACATCTTGCAGCTGCAGCTATTATCTCAAACTTAACCCTCTGAGCGACATGACCGGCTTTATCTGGCCACGAGATTCTCTGTCACTTAGTGTATATTAACTTATAATTTAGAATATTTTGCTTTCTTACTTTCTTTAACAATATAAATTTTATCTTTATAAATGTAAGTTTATGAAAATAAACCCTAAAATAAGTAAATATACAAATTAAACTAATAAAAGGCTTTTAAATGCAGGTCTTTGTGACAGACCCAAAACCCCGGGCCGCTCAGACAGTTTAGCGTGCTGTTTTATTACATGTTGTCCTTTCCATTTTACTTTTTTTTATTCTCTTGACATGTACATGGTATTTTTAAAATATTAAAATAAAAGCTATCCACTTTCTGAGGATTCATGAATACTGCTGAATAATTCAAACTGCTTTAATAAAATTACACACTAAAACTTGTTTTGAAAGTGCAAAAATGAAAATACTACCAAGCTGGATGACATCTACAAGAGCCATACTATATATTTGTATAAGGAGTTATCACATTTTACAAGGAAATGAATACAGCAGATAAACTGACATATAATGAAAAGCTTTAAAAAAAGCTTGCATTACTTAAACACAGGATAAAACAAAACCATAAGTGCTTAAGATTACTAGA